CATCTTGGCATCTCTCAAGCACTTCTCAACAGGTTCCATACACTTTCTGAAAAGGTCCATATTGAGTTCCTCAAATCTAGCACGGGTAATGGTTGAATAGAAGTCAATTCCTTCAAAAAGAGAGTCGATCTCAAGTGTAGTTTGAGCAGAGGAGGAAAGGGTTCTCTTAGCCCTTTCACAAGCGGTTCTCAACCTCCTAAGAGCCCTGGGGTTTCCACTAATGTCTTTCTTATTCTTTCTCTTGAATTCCTGCACGAAGTGGTTAACCAATCTGTTATCAAAATCTTCGCCACCAAGATGAGTGTCTCCTGCAGTTGCCTTCACCTCAAAAATCCCTTCTTCGATTGTAAGCAATGAAACATCAAAAGTTCCACCACCCAAATCAAAAATCAGAACGTTCTTTTCGCCAGAGCTGCTGGACTTCTTGTCCAGACCATAAGCAATTGCGGCAGCAGTTGGTTCGTTGATGATACGCATCACATTAAGACCTGAAATGACACCGGCATCCTTCGTGGCCTGTCTCTGTGAATCGTTGAAGTAGGCTGGGACGGTGACAACGGCATTCTTCACTGTTGTGCCCAGATACGCCTCAGCAACCTCCTTCATTTTTATGAGTATCATAGAAGAGATTTCTTCCGCTGAAAACTGCTTCTCTTCACCCTTGTAGTTCACAACAATCATTGGTTTGTCGCTGGGGCCGGCAATGACTCGGAAAGACCAATGCATCATATCATTCTGGACCGATGAATCACTAAATCTTCGGCCAATTAAACGCTTAGCATCTGTGTTAACACAAGGAGAAGCTTATCAATTACGAATTCTACAAAATACCAAACAATATCGGTTTAATTCTCAGCCAAAAGAAACTACAGATATACAGAAACAACTGAACTAGCTTCAAGAACAATACAAGAAAGAGTATATTTAGTACCACAAGACAAGTGCTGATGCACTACTACAGCTACAGTTCGAAAAATCAAAAGTCAAGAAAATCACAAGCAACATAATCAAGAACTATTTCAAAAATCTCAGCACAAAACTCCCAAGATTTCGTGAACATGCCATTCAGTTCAACTCATCAAGGCAAATAATTAGGCTGATACTATTTCCAAATTCTTAAGGATTAACCTAAAATTATTTCTGAAGGGGAAGAAATAAACTCCAGGTACTACATCGCAAGGCCAAAAGAAATAGGACTTACCAAAAACGGTGTTGATAGGGTTCATGGCGACCTGATTCTTGGCTGCATCACCGATCAATCGCTCGTTGTCGGTGAAAGCAACATACGACGGCGTCGTTCTATTTCCTTGATCGTTGGCAATGATCTCAACTCGATCATGCTGCCACACACCGACGCAAGAGTAAGTCGTTCCAAGATCGATCCCGATCGCCGGACCTTCTCCTTTACCAGCCATAGTAGCAGTTCAAGACGATGTAAAAAAAGAAAATACGATGAAATTTTGAACGAGAAATGGGGACGAAAGCGAAGAAATCGGTAGCTGAATGTAAGTTGAAAGAGTTTGAAGTTGAGAGAAAACTTAGGAGGGAGGAGAATTTATAAGAAATTGTAAAGGAAGAAGGTTCTCGAGAGTTCGAATTGAAGAGGTTCGAGCGCTGCAAGGTTGTTATGTTTAGCGTATGAACAGAAAAAACAGAATGATAACCGTTACTTTTCAACTTCTAGATGATTCTAGAAGCTTCTTTCCTTTTTAAAAAAAAAAAAATAAAAACATCAGTTTTATACTTCTTTTATTTTGAACTCTTTCATTTTTAATAGTTAAGTATTTTAATATTCATTCAGTATGCATCCTCTTGGGCATTTGGTCTAGTGGTATGATTCTCGCTTAGGGTGCGAGAGGTCCCGAGTTCAATTCTCGGAATGCCCCATTATTTTTACTTTTATCCTTAAAATCTATTAGATATTTAAATTTAGAGACCGGTTCATGTTCAATACAAAACTGAAAACTCTGCGACAGTTCTACAATGAATTAATATCAACATTTGACTCAGGCTCCGAAACAAGGGTTGTAAATTAACCACCACCCAATTTTTAAAATAATTACAAAACTATTAATAGAACAAAGCTGAAAACAGAGAATCTAAATTGCAGCAGAGTAGAAATTTTCTCAGAGAGCTTAGGAAGCATTCTTGGAATTTCATATGATTTAAGGAAAAAAAAAAAAAAACGTTTGTGTTAAACATCCAAATGAAAGAGTAGCTAAAGTAAAGAAGACTTTTGGAAAGGAAATTGCTGTTGTGAGTACATTTGTTCCGCTTTCAGCTCCACTTGAGGTATGGTCGGATAGTCCTGTTAGTGATTATGATAAATTGCATGTGTTTGACTTTAGCAAAGGTGTGAAGGGCTATAGGTTATGGTGTCCAGAAACAAGTAAGATTGTTAATAGTCGAGATGTGACATTCGATGAGTCTGGAATGTTTTTGCAGAAAATTGAAAATAATGACGAGGCATTGAAGCAGGTGGAGAAGGTGGTGTTCTCTCCTGATGTGGTTGCTCCTACTGAAGAACCTATTGATCAGGTAAATAATAACTTTGATGTCTTAGAACAGAAAGAGCAAAGTCTTGAGGAGCGAAGCCTTGTAAATGAAAGAGGGGAGGAACCTGAGTCAATCGCCAAGAATAGACCACGAAGGGTAATTCGAAAACCTGCAAGGTTTGATGATACGATAGCATATGCTTTCTCTTTGATTGATGGAGTTCCTAACAGTTACAAAGATGCTATTCAGAGCCCGGATAGCTTACACTGGCAAGAGGCTGTGAATCAGGAGATAGCATCATTGGAGATAAATCAAACTTGGGATTTGGTAAACTTCCAAAAGGTAAGAAGGAAATTGGTTGTAAATGGGTTTTTGCAAAAAAGGAAGACCCTTTTGGTATACGTTATAAGGCTCGACTTGTGGCTAAAGGCTACGCACAAAAATAAGGTATTGATTACAATGAAATTTTCTCACCTGTGGTAAAACATTCTTCGATTCGAATTTTGTTGGCTTTGGTTGCTCAATTTAATCTTGAGCTTGCACAACTCGATGTAAGAACTGCCTTTTTGCATGGAGATTTGGAAGAAGAAATATATATGGCGCAACCAGTTGGTTTCCGAGTAGTTGGACAGCAACATTTAGTATGCAGATTGAAGAAATCTTTGTACGGACTGAAGCAATCCCCTCGCCAATGGTATAAAAGGTTTTGATCATTTCATGGTAGAGCATATGTATACTCATAGTCAATTTGACCATTGTGTGTATTATCGATGTCTCGATGATGGATCGTTTATTTACTTGCTCTTATATGTTGATGATATGTTAATTGCTTCAAAGAGACAGGTGGAGATTGATAATCTCAAAGATGAGCTTTCTAAAACATTTGAAATGAAAGACTTAGGCAATACAAAGAAAATATTTGGAATGGAGATAGAGCGAGATCGAAAATAGGTATCTGGTTGACTCAGTCTCGCAAGGTATTGTCAAGATTTAGTTTGAATGATTCAACCAAACCCGTTAGTACTCCACTTGCTCCTCATTTCAAGCTTAGTGCTTCCATGTGTCCAAGTTCTGACGATGACAAAAGGTATATGGAAAACATTCCTTATACAAATGCTGTTGGTGCATTGTTGTATGCTATGGTGTGTACTCGACCTGATCTTTCACACGCAGTAAGCATGGTGAGTCGTTATGTGCATAATCCTGGTAAAGAGCATTGGCAGGCTGTAAAATGGATTCTTAGGTACATTCTTGGCACTATTGATGTTGGTATTAAGTTTCAAAAACAAGAAATGTTTAATCTTGACAATCGTGTAGCTGGTTTTGTGGATTCTGATTATGCTGGTGATTTGGATAAGCGACGATCTACTACGGGATATTTATTTACTATGGCTGGTGGACCAGTTTGTTGGCGTTCAACATTGCAGTCTACTGTTGCATTGTCTACCACTGAAGCAGAGTATTGCATTGTCTACCACTGAAGCAGAGTATATGGCAGTAACATAAGCTTTTAAAGAAACTATTTGGATGTATGGTTTGATCAATGACTTGGGTATTTTGCAGCGACATATAGATGTATTTTGTGATAGCCAGAGCGCTATTTGCTTGTCAAAAAATCAAGTCCATCATGCTCGTACAAAACACATTGACGTCCGTTTTCACTTTATTCGAGAAATTATTAGCAAAGGGGATATTCGTTTACTAAAAATTGGAACTGCTGATAACCATATGTTGACAAAGGTGATCGCTCATGAAAAGTTCTGCCATTGTTTGGATCTCATCAACGTCGGAAGGAGTAGTGTGTTGACGTGGTAACAACCAAATTCGCTATCAACTTGGAGATCTTATGACAAGGTGAAGATTGTTAAACACTGTCATAAGCCCTATTCTCTAGGACCAAGACATATTCTCAAGGTCTTGCTAATATTTTTAGGCTTGTTAGTTTACCTTTAGGTTTAGCAGAAGGCTATATCTTTAGGTTTAGCAGAAGGCTATATGGCTTGTTAGTTTATCTTTAGGTTTAGCAGAAGGCTATATAATGCCATTCTTTGTGCTGTTGAAAAATCAAGTTTTTGAGTGCAATATTGTATGTCTTGAGTGATTTTGTTGTGAGCCGAAAGCGGAACAAATGTACTCACAACAACAAAATCACTCAAGACATACAATATTGCACTCAAAAACTTGATTTTCCAACAGCACAAAGAATGACAGCATTATATAACCTTCTGCTAAACCTAAAGATAAACTAACAAGCCATATAGTCTTCTACTAAACCTAAAGATATGGCCTTCTGCTAAACCTAAAGATAAACTAACAAAAACTAACAAGCCTAAAAATATTAGCAAGACCTTGAGAATAGGTCTTGGTCCTAGAGAATAGGGCTTAGGACGTGTTTAACCATTGCAAATTGCAATTCACCAAAAAAAAAAAAAAAAGTACTGAATACCGATGCATTCAACTTGCAGACAGCATTGAAGGAACTCAAAATGGGCAGTACGAAGAAATTCGATCAAATATAACTAATAAAAGATCAGTCAAAGAACCATGAAAATTCATGAGAATAAATTACGATTACATAATGAAAAAGTTGCTTACATTGGTTGTTGCCGGGAGAGAATTCTCATAGAAGAAAATGGAAAACCTAACATATAAAAAACGGTCTACATCTAACAATAGTGCATTTTGCCGATGAATCTAAGCATCTAAATCAACGAGATCTCAGTTGCCTTCATATTTCGGATCAGCCGTAACGTAATGGTAAGCAATCACCAAGGCAAAGATAAAAATGCCGAGAAAATTGGCAAGAAAACCTAATTCCTGATCGTCAATCATCTGCACTAGGCAACAAACAATACAGCGGAAATTAGCTTCTTCGATCGCCTACAACGAATTAAAATTTCAACACAGCAAACTGCAAATTTCAAGTTCCTCAAAAACTAAACATCATAACCTAGTCGCACAGTTTGGAAGCTCGACTCGCAAGTCTTGGTATTTAAGAATCGAGATTTGCTAAGAAAACGAAATTCCACTTCTAAACCATGAAAGATCGATAAAAAAAAAAAATTAAAAAAAAAAATTGCATCAAATTGAGAAAAAAAAAAACATAAGGAAGACGACTCTACCTTCCGATCTAATCAGTCGAGAGAGAAACACGAAGTCAAAAAGAAGATCCGACGACGAAATTCTTCGAGATGCGGTAGACTACGGAAAAGAACCTCGTTTCTACTTGATGCAGCCTTCTCAAAGAGACGTTTGGGCCCAAGCCCATTAATTTTTGTTTTATTGGGCTTCCGTAATTCATTCAACCCAATGATATTTTATTAATTTTTCCTTTTTCTAAATAGAGATTTTGAGAGGGGCCTCGCCTATATTTAAATCTATATTTTAATATAATTTTCTAAAATTTTTAGCCCAATCCAAAATTTTGGTTTTTTTTTTATAAAAAAAACAAAATAAAAACCCTAATGATTGGAACTAAATTGAAGAGAAAAAAACATCAAACATTAAGAACCCCCTGCCCCTGCTATTTACTATTGCTGAGCTGGAATTTGCATGTGACCCACGTGTAGTCCTCAGCCGGTGACTAGGCAGCTAAGCTACCAAAATTCAGCCATAATTTCTTTTTATAATGTAAAAATTCAGCCACATTTGACACGTCATCTATACACATTTCTACTTTACTATAATTAAAAATACTAATTTTATCGAAATAAATACACTTGTAATTTTAAGGTTACTCTAGTGGGTCCATAAAATTTAAAATGTATATAATTCGTTATATTAAATCTTTTAAATTAAATAGCTTATTAGATACGATGAAATTTTAAAATTTTGATATGGATATTATTACAATTTTAGAAAAATTATGGGCATTTTCTGGAATAAACCTAAAGTTGAAGGGTATTTACTGCAATTTAGCACAATTAAGTAGAAACAATTAATATTTTAACAATCTGCGCCAAATTGTATTATAAATTGTTTTTGGAGACAGGTGGGCTCCTCGGGCGGAAAAAAAAAAAGAAATGAAATTAATTTATATATGTAAGAAAAAAAAAAAGGTGATTAATCTAAAAACAAAACTAATCTCGAAACGTAACACTCATTCAAATTGAACTCAGTTCTCAATTTTCGATCATAGGATCCTGAAGCCATCTCTGTTTCTATATAAATTTGCGCCAAAACCCTTCGATTCCAAGGCGAAACGAAAGGAAACTTTAAGCCCCCAGAGTTTGATTTGGCTAATCAAGGTAAAAGTCTCGTGTCATCGTGTTTCTTTAGTTCATTGCGGGTTTAAATCATTCATCAATCTGTGAGATTTAGATCTGGAATTGTTTGGTGGGTGGGTAAGTGCTCACTTTCGTTGCAGAAAAGCTTACCAGTTTTCGTGTTTTTGAAGTTTTTTGCTTCACTTTCTTGCTCTTCAAGTCGTCGCAGCTTGGTCTAATGATTCTTATATTCATAGTTTTGTTCTCCATATCTATAGAGAAGGCATTGGTAGCTACGTCGATTTTGGTGCATTGCTTTGAAGGGTTTGATTCTTTTTTATGTTGTTTTTGCTTTGATTTTGTAGCATTGCATTTCCCAAGCGATGAACTCTTCATTTGCATCAAATCCGAGTCTCTAATGAGAATTTTCAAGCTTTTTTTTTGGAGTTCAATAGCTATCTCTGATGACCTTGATGATCCAGGGTTTGAAGTAAAGATCCGAGAGTAATGGCTAAAGAGGGTTCCAATGGAAGTTCCCAAACTTCCACAAAGCCACCACCGACTCCATCTCCTTTAAGAAGTGCCAAATTTTTTCAGGTATTTTTAGATTCTTGTTCATGGTTGGAATCTGACAAAACAACAATGGGAGGAGCCTGTTCATGTTTAGAACTGTTGGTCTTTACTTTGCATTTGGTTCATAATTGTGATGTCAAAGATTGTTCTTACGAAAATGGGGATCGATCGAAAATGCTTATGAGCATGATGGGTTTTAAGACATCTTTGACTGTTAAGAAAATGATGTTTCAATCCAAAATGGAGATTTTGGATCAAAATCATAATAGCTCAAGCCCACCACTAGTAGATATTGTCCTCTCTGGGTTATCTCTTTCGGGGTTCCTTTCAAGGTTTTTAAAATACATACTCTAAAGCGCAAAGAGGACAGTATCTGCGAGCGGTGAGGTTAGACTTTTATAAAAGTAAGCTTGAATCTTACTCGAAGGCTTTCATTGCTATTTTCTTTTCCTTAATCTCGTACTCAGCCTGGTTCGTTTCCTTGACCAATATTGTGGTCTTGCTTGACATCAGGCAAATATGAGAATTTTGGTGACTGGAGGAGCTGGGTTTATAGGCTCACACCTGGTGGACAAATTGATGGAAAATGAGAAGAACGAGGTAGCTTCTTCAGTACTTTAGCTGCACTCTTTGTACTTTTTCGATTATTGACCGAACCCTTGTGTAATTCATTAAGTGTAGAAGAGATTATAATCCCTGCATTACGCGCATTGTGTTCGTTCTGTTTCTTTTCCTTTTAGGTTATTGTTGCTGATAACTACTTCACGGGATCGAAGGTGAACTTGAAAAAATGGATTGGCCACCCTAGATTTGAGCTTATCCGACACGGTATTCTTCTTTTACTCTATTTTTTTTCGTGTTAATGTTACTTGGAAGGCTTGTGAATTTCATATTGTTGCTTCCTTGATCGACACTATCCCTCAATTTTTCTAACCCAGATGTTACTGAGCCATTGTTGATTGAAGTTGACCAAATATACCATCTTGCTTGCCCGGCGTCTCCAATTTTCTATAAGTACAACCCTGTAAAGGTTCGTATCATTTTCGGTCAAATACTATCTATCATCATATTTGAAATGAGATATTCATTATTAACTTCTGATTGGTGTGTTGACAGACTATTAAGACGAATGTAATTGGCACACTGAACATGTTGGGACTTGCCAAGCGTGTCGGAGCAAGGTTTTCAAGCTCGCCATTTTACCTCTCAGTTCATAAATATTTTTCTGCTCTGTTGTTTATTGACCTTGTTGAATAGGATTTTGCTAACTTCGACATCCGAGGTATACGGTGATCCTCTCATTCACCCTCAGGATGAAAGCTACTGGGGAAATGTCAATCCAATAGGTAGTTGAAAGAAGTAATATCTTGTTTGGTTCGTTCTAAAACAACCGTAATTTTGAATGATGTGAATTCAAATAACAGTTTCATGTGTGTGAGATCCCACATCCGTTGGAGAGAGGAATGAACCATTCCTTACAAGGGTGTGGAGACCTCTCCCTAACAAACGTGTTTTAAAACCGTGAGGCTGACGGCGATACGTAACAAGCCAAAGCGGACAATATCTGTTAGCGGTGGGCTTGGGTTGTTATAAATGGTATCAAAACCAGACACCGAGTGGTGTGCCAGCGAGGACGTTGGGCTCACAAGGGGGTAGATTGTGAGATCTCACATCGGTTGGAGAGAGAAACAAAACATTACTTATAAGGGTGTGGAAACCTCTCCCTAACAAACGCGTTTTAAAACTGTGAGGCTAACGACGATATGTAATGGGCCAAAGCGGACAATATCAGTTAGTGGTGGGCTTGAGCGGTTTAATGGCTCAGATGGCTGCATTATTGAATATTATGTTTTGTTAAACTCTTGCAGGTGTGAGAAGTTGCTACGATGAGGGCAAGCGAGTGGCTGAAACTCTGATGTTTGATTACCACAGGCAACATGGGATCGGTGAGTTTATCACATCCCACATATTAAGGACTCCATTTTCTCTGTGCCATTGCATTTTTCTCTAAATGAACATTTACTACTGCAGAGATCAGGATTGCAAGGATTTTTAACACCTATGGACCCCGAATGAATATTGACGATGGTCGTGTCGTCAGCAACTTCATTGCTCAAGCAATCCGGTAAGTCTAGTCTCCACACAATCTTCTCGCCTGAGTAGTGGCATCGTTCATCTTCAATACTTGTATGATTCTTCATGCAATGTGCAGTGGTGAGTCTTTGACAGTTCAAGCACCCGGAACACAAACACGAAGTTTCTGTTATGTCTCTGACATGGTAAGGAAATCTCGGTTCGGGTTCATTATTGTATAGATTCATACATCCATACCAATTATCAGCTTTTTAACTCGTGAATCAAGGTCGATGGCCTCATTCGGCTAATGGAAGGCGATAACACAGGACCGATCAACATTGGAAACCCAGGTCTTTCATTTGCTTTTCTCCTAGATAAGCGTCTCCCTCTCGATCTACCCTAAACTTCTTTGTTTTTCTGCGATTCAGGTGAATTCACGATGCTCGAACTGGCGGAGACAGTAAAAGAGGTAAATTTAGTTACTAAAAGATGTTCTTCAATTACAATAGAGACTGAGAGATCTCAACTGTGCAGCTGATCAATCCTGGTGTTGAGATCATCATGGTGGAGAACACGCCCGATGATCCTCGCCAAAGGAAGCCCGACATCAAGAAAGCAAAGGAGTTGCTCGGATGGGAGCCGAAGATCAAGTTGAAGGACGGACTTCCTCTCATGGAGGACGATTTCCGAACTAGACTCGAAGTCCCGAGAAAGAACTAAGCTCATTAAACCTCCGTATAATCACACCGGGTCGCCCCCCGAGTGAAGAGTTTTCAAGAGAATGAATGGGAAGTTTTGGGAGGAGATTGTGTCCTTTGATATCTCGTTGTTCTTTATTTAGAATAAGTGACAGTTTGGCTCACACACACATTTATATATATATATATATATAAAGACGCTTTCAAATCATGGCTTTTATCCGACATTGAATTAGAAGGCAAATTTCTATGAGAAATAAAAAATTATTGTAATATTTTT